ATAGAAAGAAAGAAAATGATGAAATCATTCGGTTGGTAGATTGAGTGAGTTTTCCATCTGTGGAACAACTCAGTTGTATTATACTCCCTTGGTGGTCATTGGTCCTCTTCCAGCATGAAGGACAAACAATAATCTGTGAGTAGTAATAGCTGCCCCTTGTGCACCTAACTGGCCAGTTTGAGTTGGGCAGGGCTCCTCCCCCTCCTCCTCTTTCTTCTCCTTCTGTCCTTCTGTCCACATGGGCAGTCAAACCCTACATGTGGATGCTCTGTCCAAAGGAATATAAGTTTTGATTGCTTATACTTTGAAAGATATTCTTGGGACTTTGGGGCTACAGCCTTTTTTCCTCCCTATTAATTTATTCTATTATTATTTTTTCAAAAAGCTGGGACAATTAACTCTGGTCTCAGTAGTTTCATTTGTGATTTATTGAAATATAGCTCTGAAAAAAACAGGCTTTGAAAAAGCCTATTGTGATTCAAATAGAGCTACTTGACTTTAAACCCAAATCACTCTGGCTTTCACTGATTGGCCAATAATAGGTCCCAGCCCACTTGCTCATTGTTTGGGTTTTGATGACTCAAAGTGAGGGTAAATAGCAATTGTTTTCTCTTCTGGCCAGAAACCGGAGGGTCTTCCTCTCCCAGACTGATTCTTTTGGGAAGGCAAACCAGGTTATCTTTCCTCTCAATTCTTTTTTTTTGTGAGGCAATTGTGGTTAAGTGACTTGCCTAGGATCACACAGGTCGGATTTGAACTCAGGTCCTCCAGACTCCAAGGCTGGAGCTCTATCCACTGCACCACCTAGCTTCCCCCTTTTGTCTCAATCTTTACCTAGCCTTCAATCACTGAATGGGCAGTTGTATCTGACAAACTGAGACCTGGAAAAGACCCCAGCTTAACAAAGCCAAGGTCTCCCACTGCATCCTGGGCCATCACCAGTCATTTTGACTTATGTCTTACCACTGGACCCCATGACTCTGGAGGAGAGAGTGAGGCTGATGACTTTGCACAGCCCTGCCTCACTTAAATCCAACGTTCTTGCAACTCAAGACATCAGCCTCCTGATGTCATCGGTTGTCTTAGAGAAGGAAAGACAAGCAACAACAACAACAATTCCCTTAGTAAATTGTAACTATGATCACCTTCTGCCTTTCTGGAGGGAAGGGAACAGTTCTTGATTTGGGCTCCTGCACCTATTGACAAGCACTCTGTTAACTTATCAGTTACTTTTTTTTGTTGTTCAGTTGTTCAGTTGTGTCCTACTCTTCTGACCCCATGGACCATAGCATGTCAGGCCCTCCTACCTATCCTCTACTTTCTTTTCCTCTGCCATCCCCTTTTCTTGTTGTCTTCAATCTTTCTAAACATCAGGGTCTTCTTCAATGAGTCTTGTCTTCTTATTTGTGGTCAAAGTATTTAAGCTTCAGCTTTAGTATTTGACCTTCTAGTGAAAAGCCTGAATTAATTTCATTAAGTATTACAGGACAAAGCAAAACAGTTCCTGCCCTCAAAGAGTTTACATTCTAATGAGAGAGGCAACATATATAAATGTAGATTATTATAAGAAAATGCATGGGGACCAGAAGAGGTAGGGACTGATTTTGGCTGGGGATCAGGGGTGATTTCATGGAGGTGACGTTTCAGCTGGTGAATTTAGGGAATGGCAAAAACATAGTTTGATTGGAGTATAAGGTGAGTAACTGGAGTAGATCTTACAGAAAACTTTGAAATTGATCTTTATATGACAATAATGCCTGTAAGTTTATATAGTTAAAATATTTTAATAAAAGTAAAATATTTGAGTTGCCCAGTTATGATAAAACTAGAAAGGCAGATTGGAACAAGATTGTCTAGGGTGGTGAAAGCTAAGGATTTTTGGACTTTTAAGCAAAGGGGAACATCTTAAGGCTTTTGGATAGGTTTTGGGGTTGCTAGAATGTTATTAGAACTGTATATAATGAGGAAGATGTAATCAAGTATCATTATATAGATGAACTACAGCTGGGAGGGCCTAGAGGCTGGGTGCCCAGCCAGGAATTCGTTTAGGGCTGAAAGTGACCTTATAGGCCAATGAGCCCAATGCCTTCATTTTACAGATGAGGAAACTGAGACACAGAGAGGTTGAATGACTTGCTCAGGGTCACAGCTAGTTAGTGTCTGAGATGGGATTCCAAGCTGAGTGCTCTATCTCAATAGTGCAGGCATAAGTGCTTAGGACCTAACTGCTGAGGGAATGCAAAAGAGATTACTTATTGAGCCGTCATTTTATTAAGGATTTAATGTGGGTTTCCAAGTTAGGGTTTTTAATCCTTATATAAAAGAAATAGTCCTTTGCAGATATAAAAATGGATTGCTACATTCTGGTGCAGCACGAGTTTGATGTTCAGAGTCTGTTTAAATAGTCTTCATTAATTAGCCTGATTTTGTTAAGGAGACTTTGCTAAGAAACCAAACAAAACAATTTAGTTTCCTTTTTTCTAAAGAGTATCAAACTCTAGACAGGGTACTTTTCACAGAACTTTTTTTTAAAAAATATTTTGGATAACTGTATTTCAATATAGTTGATTTCTTTTGTAATCCCATGTATTTTATTTTATGTATTTAGAAACATCATTTTGATGAGAGGGTCCATAGGCTTCATTAGATTATCAAAGGGGTCTATACCCCCAGCACTTAAGAACCTGTTCTAGAAGAAACAGGAAAGGCCATAATTTCAACACCTTTTAAGGTGAGGGAGGGGTGGGCCTTTGCCTTGGACTAACCAGCCAATCAGGTGCTTCCATTGCTTCTTAAAGCCATTTCCGGGATCTCCCACCTTTTTTTTTTTTTCTGCTGATGGCCTGGTGAGTAGTTAGTTCTTGGGGGGGAGGGTCTTTTCAATCCCTTTTGAACCTGGGTTTTGGGGAACCATCCACTCTTGCTTTCATTTCCTGATGCTAGCTGGAAGCAAGGTTAGACTTTGGGAAGTCGTGACAAAGTGTGGGGGTGGTTTGGAGCTTTAGTCTGGGAGGGGGAAAGCTGAGGCAGGCCTTGGAGCTGCTTATTAGCCAGGGCTCTGCTGGCGGCGACCTGGAGGCTTCCAAAGGACAGAGAACTATCTGCGCAGAGAGCATTTATGAATAGGTAGGGGCCTGGGGTTGCTTGCTTTTTATGAAAGGTGCTGCATCAAGCTAATGTTGCCTATTTGCCAGAGGGCATGCAGATTTGAGCCTGAATCAGGTTTCTGACCTTGCCCGCCTGGTCACCTTTTCTGGTCCCATCCACGTGTCTGTAAGGTGGGTGAGGAAGGAGGGCAGGGACTGCTTCTTTTTTTAATTAACACTTAAAAATTTTATTTGATCGTTATTTTAACCTTTGTGCTGCTAACAGTATTTGGGCACCATTGGAGGAGACAGGGTTTCATTATGCCTAGGAGATAAGAGGAACCCTTGGAAGGGTGTTCTTTGAAAATTTGCGTTGTGAACTACAATGTAGATTGCTAGCTTCTGTGCCCCAATATCTTGATCGACACGGAGTGGGGTTGGCCTTAAATTTCACTTTATCCCAGCCGCATTTTCTTTCTTAATCAGTGAGATTAGGAATAAGTATTGTGATTTTTATGAAAGACAGAATGACTGAGAAACATTGACTAGATTCTTAATAAATGTCTCTTCATTGCTTGATGTGAAATATCTGGTGATGTATGAGAAGTGTGATGATTTCTGGGGTTCCTATTAGCCATTCTGATTTTCTGGCCTGGACGGGGCTTTGTTTGGGTGTGTTAGCTTTTTCCTTAAAATGAAATTTCTGGTGGTTATTTTTCATAGAAGTGTATGCTGTGAAAAGTGTAGATTTTGCGGGGTGTGGGGGGGGCGCATCCTGTGCTGACAGAAAATTAATAAGCATCTTTAAAATACCCTGGACTACATTTCTTTTTTTACCAGAGTCAAACTGTACTGACAGCCCTGAATACAGATCTTTTTGCCAACAGCTACTCTTTTAAATATGGGTTAGTTTATCTTGCGGTTAGTGCTTTTGATGAGGGTAAGGGAGGAATGAGAATACTGGGCTTTGTGCCTTTAAGAAGAAACCACGTGGCCTCTGAATTCTCAGGCAGGTCTGCAGGCTGTAATGCTGCCTCCCAGAGATCTTTATATAAAAATTGTGGTAGTGGGTGAGTAAATAATTCTGTTTTCTTTTTCTTTCTTTTTTTTTTTAAGCATTTATTTGGGGATGTAACTGAAGCTCAGGATGCTAAGAAGTGTAGAAATAGGCTATTTTTAAGAGGCCTTTTAAAATGGTGGTTGTCATTTTATCAGTGCAAGGTTTGGTTGGTGATTAGTGTTTTATTAGCAAACAGATCCTGGCTCAGGTGGAGACTGGTATAGATCTTATACAAATTGTTTTCCTTTTTAAACTATCCACTTTATTTAACTGCAGTAATTTACACATCTCTAGTACTTCTTACTTAATCTAGAACAGGAAACAGACAGGTGGGGAACACTTCTCATGTTTCACCCTTTTGTTAAAAAATTTTTCCTAATCGAAATCCCCCAGATACACCTGATTTTAATTTTGTCTTCAGTTGAGAAATAGCACATCCCTGGGAAAGTTTTCTGCCATGATGAGCTGCATGTTCAGTCCGTGTTTCACATGATCACTCTGATTATACACATGCCCTGAGCAGAAACCATATTAAGATTTTAGAAGGTGAGCTGGGGAAGGGAAGGCACCATTGACCATGTTATTCATTTGTTTGTTTGTTTTCAAAAATTACTAAAAAAAACCCACCTCATAGATTAATTTTTCTGACTGCTTCTTATGTCCAGATATAAATTTAAGTATGAAAGCCACAACTTTTTGTATACCTGCAAGAGAGGAGATACCAGTAAGCCACGCCCCTGATTTTTCCAGTTCAAACCCTGGAATTGTTCTTGAACATATTAAGCATAATGCAGTTCAAGTTCATGTGACCAGTTCTGGCTAACAATGGATAAACTTCTGTTTTCTAATTTTAGGTTGAAGATGGATTTGGCTTTTTGTGGAAAGGGGGTTAAATCCTTGGCAAGGGAGGAGATGTGGCTCTGGGCAAAGCTGGGAGGCAGAAGTCCAGCACCAGAAAATCAAAACTTCTTTGCCTCAGGCCCACCAAAGACCAAGTTAACCAGAATTGACATTTCAACATGGGGAGGGCTGAAGGTAGCATGGCTGCAAGTCTGATTTAGGTAAGTACTAGGATTTGACCAAAGTAGGTTTTTTTTTATGTTCCCTAATGGATTGACTTGTGTAAATCATCTACCTAATAGGATAATAAGCTCTTGGTAGCAAGGAATCATTTTGAATACTTTTGTCCTAGTGCTGGGACTCAGGAGATCATTGTTGAATTGAGTTTTAACTCTCTGCCTCAATTTCCTCATCTGTAAAATGGGGATAATTACAGGGTTGTTGTGTTTAGCACAGTATCTAGCATATTCTCTATAAATGTTAGCCATTAATATTATTTCACACTGCTGACTCAGGTTGAGCTTTTAGTCCCCTAAAAAATTCTCAGCTCTTTCTCAGAACAAGTGCTAACCATGTCTCTCCCATCTTGTGTTTGTGAAATTATTATTTTTTTTTACCCAGGTACAAGACTTCACATTTATCCCTACTGAATTTCATCTTATTTGATTCAGCCTATTGTTCTAATCTGAGATCTTTTTGTATCCTGATTCTCTTCTACAACGTTAGATCTCCTGTATTTTTGTTGTCTTCAGGTTTGAATGAACATGCTGTATTAAATAGTGCAGATCTATTGGAGACTTCCTGCCAGGTTGACATGAGCCATTTATTACTACCCACTGAGTCCAGCCAGCCAACCATTTGAGTCTATCTCATTATATTAATGTTTAGGCTATATACTTCTCTATCTTCTCCACAAGAATGGGAGATAATATCTCCAAAAAACTTGGCTAAAAGCTAGGTAAACCATATAACCTTTCCTCATCTAATAGTCCTGTCCAAAGAGGAAATCACTTTAGGCTGGCAGGGTCAGTTCTTGATAAAACCATTCTGGCTTCCTTTTCTAAATGGTTACCAGCCATCTGTTCTTGAATCAATCAATCATTCAAGCACTGTCTTAAGCTGGGGATAGATTTAAAAAGAGGCAGAAGACAGTTCCTGCCCCCAAGGAGCTTACAATATAATGGATGATCCATTCTAGAATTCCTCAGCAATTGAAGTGTCAAGTTCATTGTCTTATACTTTGCAGACTTAATATTTTCTTTTTTGAAATTCGTCTTGTGGTACTTACCATTTTTTCATGGTCTTTCATCTGTCTAATGGAGTCTCAGCAATCACATCTGACAGCAGTGCTTTCCCTTCTACTCAAACTATCTTTTATTTACCCATTACATGTGTACCTCCCAGTTGGATATAAGCTCTTTGGCCCTGCATGGAGCCACATGCCTTTATCTCCTGGTACCATGGAGGCCGAGCTCAGGAGTTCTGAGCTGCAGTGAGCCTAAAGCCAGTGAAGTGTCCGTGCTAGGTCCAGCACTAGTATGATGAGCCCCTGAGAATGGGGGCCACCAGGCTGACTAATGTGGGGTGCATTAGTAGAGGTCAGAAATGGGGTGGGTCAGATTTCCCATCCCCCAGTGGGATCAGGACCACTCTCTCTGTACTTGCAGCTTGGCTGAGATAGGAAGACAAATTTATACTTGAGGAATTGTTTTTTCCTTTTTAATATTTAATAGAATTTAGGTTGGACTACCATGTGTTCATTTTATCTCCCACAGAATGTAGTCACAGTAGATTTAATAAAATTCTTGTCTGATATGTGAAGATGACAAAATGAAAGACAATCCCCATATAAATTACAATATTAGGTCTTTTTTTTTTTGCCTTCAAGTTGGTTCATCACTCAAAGGGAAGAAAGTCTGCTGTCCAGTCTGTTCCACATGATTTAGCTCCATGACACACATGACCTAGGAAGATCCCTATATTGTAGGACAAGAAAACCTTGCATGTTGCCATCTTGTGGCATAATTAAGAGCTACATGATAGTATCTCATTTTGTCGATATAAAAAGGGAAAGTTTTCAATTTATAAAGAGAGGCACTGTGCTTGACATATAGCAGGCACTTATTAAATGTTCTTTGGTAAAGCATCTTGAGTACAGATGACAGCAGCACTTGGATTAACAAAACTGAAAGAAACTATTGAAATCTTTGGCTATTGAAAAGTGACTTACTTGAATACTAAATTTTACTGAATAAAACTGGTTCATTGCTTGCTAGGTCTTGTGGGTATATATTAGTATGTCAAAGTATGCTGTCTTTGCTCAGGCATATTAAACTTATACCTTTAGAATTTTTAGGTAACCTTACATTTAACTCTTCCTGGCCAATGAGTCATTATTGAACATTGACTCAAGTTAAGAAGCGTGTCAAAAAAGTGGCTGAAATTTCTTTGAAACGATTTTTATGATTTAAACGAGGTGCAGTGCAGTTTAATGTAAATATATATATATGTATGTATATATATGTATGTATGTATGTATAGTCTCATTTATATATGTGGTCTTATTTCCTAGACTCTTCAGAGAGCTGTCTGCAGTTTTAAAGTGTGTGACTGTAAGGCAGAGGCTGCACATAGTATCAGAGGTGAGTTAAAATGAAAAGTTTCTGCCTTCTACTTGCATCAAACATCATTCAGCTCAGTGGGGAGGGGAGGGGAGGTAGCACTCAGTATAACTGTCTACGTTATAAGCAGCTTGGGGGAAATGCCCTGTTTCACATTCTCCTGTCCTCCAGCCCAGAGCTTTACACACTTTGTTACATTGAATCAATAGATGATATATCTGGGTGAGTGAGAAACGTTTTTTTCACTTCTGAAGCTAAAGGGCTTATTTTGAGCTAGGTTTCCCAGTTCAAGGGACACCCCTGCAAAAGCAATCATAGTTACTGGTCATATGCATAATGTCTGCCATGATGAAATGCATTTTCAGTCCGTGTTTCAGCTGATTACCCTGATTGCATGCATACTCTGAGCAGACTAGAGCCAGAGGTGAACATTTTAGAAAAGGTGGTTGGTTTTGTTCCTGGACTGTTGGGTCTGGTTAGTGGACTATGTCAATTTCTAACTTTTGTGTTTATAGTACCTTATTGTAGATTTGATTGGTAACCACTTTCCTTCTAAAAGGGGACATTTGTCCCTTTTAAAAATGAGTGACATTTTGAAATGTTTATTTTTGAGTTTGATAATTAGAAGGAATAAGTGAATGAATGAAAAAGTATTAAGTACTTACGTGTCAGGCACCTTGCTAAATGCCAGGGAAACACATGACCTTGACAAACATCAATAATCATGAACCTTTTCATATTCACATGATGGTGAGAAACCAAATCTTAGAAAAAACATGTATTAAATTTAATGTGTTAAATGTTTCATTGACACTTTTCGGGCACTACTATCACTCCCATGTAAAAAATGAATACTACAATAGTCAAGCAAAACAAATCCATGTGTTGCTCATGTCTGAAAATGTAAGTCTTAATCTGCATGTTTATTCTATTACCTCTCTGCCAAGAGGTGGAAGCTTATTTTGCCATCAGTTTTCTGTAGTTTCTAGTCACCATTTTGTCAGTATTCTATACTAACAGAGCAAGAGAACCCCTTGAGGAAGGTGGGCTTGGCTAGTTTACCTCATTTATATTTTTAGGGGGAGAATCAAGGTGGGATGATATATGAAGGTGGTCTCGCATATTCTTTTATTTATTTACTTATTTATTTGTTTGTTTGTTTATTTATTAGGTAACTGGAGTTAAGTGACTGGCCCCGGGTCACAGCTAGTGTCAGGTGTTTGGTCTGAGGCTGGATTTGAACTCAGGTCTTCCTGACTTCAGGGCCAGTGCTCTATCCACTGTGCCAGCTAGCTGCCCTGGTCTCATATTCTTAAAGGAAAATGATGAATCTTAGTACTAAGTAATTTTTTATAGCTTTTGGCCTTTTCTTTTGCAGAGAAGACACTGAAGCTGTAGCCAAATTCACTTTGTCCTCCTGGAGAGGTTAGTGGGAGAAGCCATGATTGAACTGGCTACTGACAGAAGCTTAGCTTTTCTTTATGGTAAGATTTTTCTTTACATTTAAAGAAAAACTATTAATTGGATATTTTATCCTTGTAAATTTAAAATGGATAGGGCCAAGATAGAAGTTGGGTGGCACTGGATCTCAGAGGCTCCCTTACCTGAACAGAGCCAAGTCCTTGATGTTACATACTGATGCTAGTTTGAATGCCTTTTGGGAGAATTATTCTATCCAGAAAATGATGGTCACAAAAACTTTGTTGGCAGTCATTAGTAAAGGACTTAATAGTAATGAAACTTGGTAGCCCTTATACAAACTATGCTTTTTAGTTTTGAAATGGACTGTCACTGAAAAGTTTACGGGTATATAACAAAATTTCAAGTATGAATGGACAACCACTGACCAGTTGGATTGTTGCCTGCTGAAAATAACACCATAGCTAAGTATGAAGTGAGTATACACTTAAAAACCAGGAAAAACCGGTATAGGTGCTGATAACACTATGTTGTAGACCTCATGATACTAAAATTATGTTGGTACCTATAGGAAGAATGACAGCTCTGTGTGATTCTAAGGGAGCTAATTTGTAATCAAACATAATGCAAGCTTTTGGACTGCTACCTGAAGGCATACCCTCCATATATGTTACTTTTATTATATCCTGCAATATAAAATCTTCACTTCAGTTTATCTCTGAAAGTTTGGCCATAAGTACAAATGCATGGTGATGGAATACATGAAATAATACCAGCAATAAAGTTGTATTTGACCTTTGAGGGAATATTATTGTTAAGACAGTGGCAGAAGTTGGAACTCTTCAATGGGGTCTCATACTGGACTGGCACTGAATCTACACATCATATTACAAAAGTTGATGCTAACCTGTCAATTTTATGCTCTATCCACGAATGCATTTTGTGATGACTTTTGACATTTGAGTCATGAGAGAACTACTGAACTTGAACTACTGAAAGATGATTTTTTTTTTAGGGGGAGTGGGACTCATTTTTGATGACCCCAAATGGCTGCTGTTTATGTTAAATGTATAACATATGCTCATTGTGTCCAGAGGAAAGTTTTGTCAATTTGAATGGCATACTTAGAAAATGTTAACACTGGCAAACCATTGGAGCTTTGCGCACATGCATTTTTCATTTTTTGAAGGAGACAGTTAAAAACATGAAGTGTATACTAAGGGTATGTTCCCATGGAACTGGAAAAGTAAGAAATCAGAGGGCTAATTGACCAAAAAGATTCATGATTTATACCTACAGTTTATTGTAAAAGTATCTTTACATTTTTTTTTCATTTATAATGGTTTGTTTGGGAAACAGAGAGTTGGGAGAGTAAAAGTGGGTCAGGATAAGAGGGTTTAAAGAAAATAGACACAGACTGAATATAGAAGATTAAAAGGGGCCAGGACCAAAAGAACAGATAAGGTACCTTAAACTATTAGTTTTTCTTTGGTTGACTGTTTCTTTAACATCCTTGATGGAATAATCCTAACTTGGCAACAATCACCCCCCACCCCCTACTTTTTTTTTCAATTAAGTTTATTTTCTATCCCTTCCACCTTCCTTTCATCATTGGAAAACAACAAAAACATTTGTTACACACACACACACACACACACACACATACTCACACTCTCTCTCTCTTTCTCTCTCACTGCTAAGCAAAACAAATTTCTACATTAGCCATATCCAAAAAAAATCCATTCTCCACCCTGAGTCCATCACTTCTGTACAGAGGTGGCTAGCATGCATTGTCGTTGGTCCTCTGGCGTCATGGTTGGTCATTGCATTGATTAGAGTTTTTAAGTTTTTCAAAGTTGGTGTTACAATATTGTTATTGTATTAATTGTTCTCATTTCACTCGGTATCAGTTCACAGGAGTCCTCCCATATTTCTATAAAATCATTCCTTTCAATACCCCTCACAGCATAATTCCGTTATAGTCATACTCTACAATTATTTAGCCACTCCCCAATTGATAAGTACTTATATTCCAGCTCTGCCCTCACAAAAAGTGCTGCTATAAATATTTCTGCATATGAGTCCCTTTCCTTCCTGATTTCCTTTAGAGTACAGATTTACCAGTGGTACTATGCATCCCTTAATAATTTCTACAGCACATTAATGGTCCTTACCTTCATATACTGTATTATAATTTGCTCAGCCATTCTTCAGTTGATTAGTTTCCAGTTCTTTGTCTGTACAAAGAATTATTTCTTAAAAAGTTATATTTAAGAGCTGTACATTATGGGTCTCCTTTCCTTAGTCTCTTTAGGGGCATAGATAGGCCTGGTAATAGTATTTACTGGGAAAAAAGGTGCTTACAGTTTAGTAATTTGGGGGGAATAATTCCGTATTGTTTTCCAGATAAGGTGGACTAATTTACAATTATTAACAATGCATTAGTGTGCCATTCAGATGGTGTGAATTAGTATCTCAGTTGCTTTACTTTACTTTTCTTTCATAGTGATTTGGAGCATTTTTTTTTCAATCTGGCTCTTGATAGCTTAGATTTCCTCAAACTGTCAGTTCATATCCTTTGACTATTTTATAAATTTTGACAATATGTCTCTATTTTTAAATCTCATCGTGTTCTGAGGAAGGTAGTTTTGCTGATCCAGATGGCTGTTCCTCTCATTGCTTTGAGTTTTGGCAGTGGGATTTTAGGCCATCGCAGATCAAAGCTGGTCTTTCTTCACTCAGGGCACCATTGGATGGATTGGCCATCTGTTAGTGCTTTCTGAAATTTGCGGGACCAGACATTTATACCTGATCTAATAATATGGGATACTCCTTATAAATGAGGCAGTTGATCTTTTAAATAAAAGGTAACTCAGCTGTAACTGCTGAGGGGAGGGCAAGGAACTATATTGAATTGAACTTAGCAGTTAAAACTTAGTTGTGGTGTAGCTTTGTATTATATTTATGTAAACTGAACTAATCACTTATATGAATTTAATTATTTGAAAGATTGTTTTGTGATTTTGCAAATTTTTTTTTCCAGAATGAAGATGGATTTTCACCTACAGCTCTAAAAATAGAAACTAACCATTCTCCCCAGAACCAATAAGTACCCAAAATGGATGAATCATCTTGTATAGAAACCTGATAAAATCCTTAATATTTGCCTTTTGACAATTAGCCCTGTAAATTAACAACCAGTTTTAAAATAAATAGTATTTGAATAAGTTTTGAACATTTTTCTTAATCAGATACTTTTAAATGGCACAACTGTGGCTGTAGCTTGTATTTTATAACCTAGAACTTGAAGAGTTCATTACAACTGCATGTCTAACCAGGAGAGCAGATAGAATGAAGTTCCCATAAGTAACTATTTTGTCACTGCCTAATTTGAGCATGGTGTTCCAAGATGGCTGCATATTTAATTTGTGATATGTGTGTATGTGTCTGTATGTACACACGTGTCTGTAACAAAAATTTAGTTTAGGAATTAATTTTTTTTAAAGACAGTTGGGGATAAGTGACTTGCCCAGGGTCACACACACACACACACACAGAGCTAAGTATCTGAGGCCGGATTTGAACTCGGGACCTCCTGACTTCAGGGCTGGTGCTCTGTCTGTACCACCTAGCTGCCCCATAGGAATTACTTTATCCATGTGAGTGACTTAGCTATTGCTGCATGAAAGATTTACTTAATGTTCAGTAGGAGACTTTTCCATCCTAACATATATACTTAGCAGCCTTCCTGTACATTTTATATAAGATTAAGTAGCATATAAGATTTTCAGAAGGCTATTCATTTGTCTTGTTTTGGTCCCTATTGAACAGGGACAATTTGGATATTCTCAAAAGTAAGTTTGAAAATTAGGTTATACTTGTCAATACATTTAGTATTCACCAAATTTTTTTAATGACCAAATTGCCTTTGTCAGAGTAATTTAGGGAGTTGGAAATTTTTAAAGGAAGAATATTTCAAATGAGTAAAAAGTGATGACAAGAAAGGAGAATGAAACTTTGAGGCTTGTGAGCTACAACCTCACTCGTATTCCCTATCAAAATTCACCTGTCCTTTCTGTACTTGATTGTCACTGGTAGTTATTCCCATTCCAATTATTAAGGCATAAAACCTTGCAATGATTTTTGCTTCCCCTCAAGTCCTGCTGGTGCTACTTTACAACCCTTATAGTTGAATGTTATAAGGGTCTTGGTTTGTATTGCTTGTCTCTTTCAATGCCCCCTGATGGCCATTCTTGCTTATTGTATTTGTTTATAAAATAAAATTTTTAAAAGCCCTTCATGTGGCCAGTTGACCTCTACAAATATATTTTACTGCCATATTTGACAAAATATGCACATGGGTGACATCACACGCCTACCGAAATGGAAGTAACTAACGGGTTGAACCCCTCCCTTTGCTGCAGCCAAAAGGTTCTAGTCTCAGCCATATGGAAGATGGGAGGAGACTAGAGACAATTAAATTAAAAGCTACTGCAATAGTCCAGGGCCTGAACCAGGATAGTTTCCAGGAGGAGAAGATAGATGCAAGCTTTGTTGTGGAGGTAGGATTGACAAATACCTGATTGGATATGGGGGATAAGAATGGCAAGGGGGAGTGAAAGATTGTTTTTGAATGTGGGTGATATTGGTGGCCTCAAGAGAAAAAGTCTGTGGAGTAGGGATGGATTTTTTTTTTTTTTGGAAAGGGCAGTTGAGATATGAATTCTGTTTTGGACATGATGATTTTGAAGAATGCGTTGGCCATCCAGGTAGAGATCTTCAGCAGGTGATTGGTGATGTAGGAATGGTATTCAGGATATGTGGGCTAGATGTATAGATTTAGGAGTCTATCTGAAGAAACAAATGAATTGATAAATGAAATTACAACAGTAGCTAATGTAGAAAAAGAAAAGGACTCAGATGTAAGCCTTGGGAAGAGAAGTCATATGGGATCAAGGGCACAAGTAAAGGATAAAACTTGACACAAAGAACTACTTCCTTTTCAAAGAACAAAGGAAGTAGAGTAAGCTGTAGAGGAGTTTTGAGTTACCTTTTGAAATAGTTTAATAAGTAGGATTGGAAGTTAATGCTGAGAGAGGGGATGTGGAGTGGCTTAAGAACACTCAAGGAAAAGATAGGTTTGGAACAACTTCTGAGGGTTATATGATAAATCAGGGGAAAAGAAAATGACTTCACTGAAGTGGTAGAGGTGACATTTCTGAAATTAAGAGGGTGGCAAAGGGATTGGAAAGCATGCCATTTGATGTTTGTAGGATCTCTTTAATCTACTTTACTTGTCCTGAATCACCAGTCTCCACCTGCATGGCCCACTGGCATATCAAACTGTCTGAAACAGAATTATCTATCCTTACAAATAAAAACAACTCTCCTTGAAATTTCCTTTTCTTTTTCTTTTGTTTTGGCACCACCATCCTTCCATTCTTGTCACATCCAGGTTTACAAATTTGTAATCCTCCTTAATTCACTATCTCATTCTCACAGCCACCATTTTAGTCCAGGTCCTTATCTTTGCTTGCCTGGAGTATTTGCAGTGTTTACTAACTGGTCTCCCTGCCTCTTTTTCTCTCCAAATAGTGGCCAAAATAACTTCCTAAAGTGCAAGTCTGACTATCCTGCAAGAAGTTTAAATAGTTTCATATGGGAATACTGGGTGGTGAAGTGGATAGCATGCTGGGCCTTGGAATCAGAAAGACTCAACTTCTGAGTTCAAATCTGGCCTCAGACACTTAGTAGCTGTGTGATCCTAGGCAATCACTTGCTTCAATTTCCTCATCTGGAAAATGAGCTGGGAAAAGGAATTGGCACACCACTCCAGTATCTAGTAGAATGCGACTGAACAAACTTACCATTTCAGGTTTATTTCAATAGTACAATAAAGAACAATTCAAGCATTCTAATCTTATGGCTAAACTGGTCTACTTCTGTTTCCTTAATTTGGCAATCCATCTCCTACCCCCATATCCTTGCACTGGCACCTATACCTTGAATGTGCACGCTTTTCACTTCCATTTCTTAAAATCATTAGTTTCGCTGAAGGATCGATTCAAGTACCATTTTTTAAAAAGATGCCTTTCTTGATTATTTTAGTTCTAAGTACTTGCTGTCTCCCTCATTAAATTATCTCATATTTGTCTTTGTAAATGTGATGCCCCAAATAGAATGTAAACTTCTTGAGGGCAGCTAGTCTTTGTACCCTCAAGGAACTAGTGCAGTGCCTTGTGCACCGAAGATACTTAAAATGATTTAGTTGAAATTAGGGAACAATAGCTGATAGAGCTCTAAGAAACTACAAACATAACATTTTATGCTTATCTCAAGATCTTTCATAAAAATACCCTGTAAGCTTTACTCCCAAATATTTATCCCAAGGCCTCTTAAATTTGTTAACAAACTTAAAAGTCAGCTTCTGATTGCATTCATTGTGTATGAGACACCTGCTAAATTTGTTTTGTCATCTAAGTAATCCTAACTTACTTGCAAAAGTATTTTTAAAGCCTTAACTATAACTACCTTGTGCAAACTGACTCAAATGTTTTGGAAATCTTCATTTTAATCTTTAAACCCATTATGTACATTGTTCAACCAGCTTATGTATTTGGTCATAGGAGGCTCCTGCTTTTGAATTTCCCATCAATTTTAGGTTTTTTTTGGTTTGTTTTTGGCTAGGCAGTGGGGTTAAGTGACTTGCCCAGGGTCACACAGCTAGTAAGTGTTATGTGTTTGAGGCCTAATTTGAACTCAGGTCCTGCTGAATCCAGGGCCAGTGCTGTATCAACCGTACCACCTAGCTGCCCTCAATTTTAGATTTTACAAATGATACTACCAATTAAATTATCCATTAACTCATAAAGTGAGAAATTATCATGAAAGCACAAATACAGCTCATCAGCAATGTGACATCCCATCTCTCATCTGTTTTCCTTCAAGTCCCAGCTAAAATTCCCTTTTATAGGAAGGCATTCCTGCTTCCCCCTTCCTATTAGTGCCTTCCATCCATGATGATCTCCAATTTATTTTGTATATATCTCTTTGTACTGCATTGTTTGCATGTTTTCTCATGCTGCTTGAGAGCAGAGGCTATCTTTTCAGTTGTCTTTGTACCCAGTGCTTAGCACAGTGCCTGGAATGTAGTCGTTCAGTGCTGTGGGACCCAGTTGAAGTTTCCTTGGCAAAGACTGGAGTGGTTTGCCATTTTTTCCTCCATCTCTTTTTACAGATGAGAAACTTAAGCAAAAAGGGTTAAATGACTTGGCCAGGTTCACACAGCTAGTAAGCATCTGAGGCCAGATTTGAACTCAGGAAGAGGAGTCTTTCTGAATCCGAGCCCAACACTATCCACTGCCACACCTAGCACTCGGCAGTGCTTAACAAATGCTTGTACGTGACTTAGAAGACAATTGTGGAATATAATCAGGAGAATTTTACTAGGTCTAGGTTTTGGTTTTGGCTATTTGATTACCTTAAGCAAGTCACCCCAATATCCTTCCTTAATTATAAAATGATAGTGTTATACTATGCCCCTTTCCAGATCTAAAATTCTACGTTGGGATGACTTTCTCTATAAACACGTGGCTACCCTTGGCAATGAGCCATATAAACGGTATTATATAAACTTGTCACTAGCATCAGTCATGGCTACAAATAAGTACAGAACAATCTGTTAAAGAATTTAGCAGGTAAAACAGGCTGCATAAAACAAAAGTCTGATTAGTATTTGGACAAAAGTCGAGAAGGGATTACAGAAAAGGAGTAAGAGCAGAAACAAGGGCAAGCCATTCTGAAGACCACTTGGGCTATGGCAGAAGGAGCTCTGCCTGGGCACGTGATCTCCCTCTGCACATCTTCACGGAAGTATGCTCACAGCTCGCGGGAGATGTGGCGCACGCGCAGTACAGGACACTAGATCTGGGCTCGAGGGGCACGGGGCGCATGCGTAGCTTGACGGGTGGGGGAGGGGGAGAAGAGGAAGAGACGCTCATTGCGACTGAGGGCGCAGCGTAGGCCAGTGTGTTTTCCCGCGCTTTCTCTTCTGGCGGGCTCAAGTAAAGTCTTAATTTGTTCTTTTTTTGAAGTTGCCATAAAGTGGTGGAGCTTAAGTTCAAAACCCTCCCACCCTCAATCAAATCCCGCCCCCTCCCCGGGCCTCAGCATCCTGCTTGGACGTGGAAATCGCTCCTTCCCCAGGTGGAAAGTCTCGGGGACACCCCCCCCATCCCCTGCCCCGAAGCCTCTGGCGCAGGCCTAACGAGCGTTTTACCTCAGTCCCCCCACCTTCAGCTGCTCCTACACGGCTTCTGGGTCTGGCGCCATGTAGGCTTTTCATAAAAACTAAATGAGATTCTAGCTCTGGAGCTGGAAGGAACCTCTGCGGCCTTCCAATCCAACCCCGTCTTTTTACAGATGAAGAAACTGAGGTCAGTCACAGGATCACAGATTTAGAATTGGAAGGGACTTTAGAGGCCCAGCCCAACAGCCTTCTCTCACCCCCTTCCCTCCCCACTGTTAACAGGTGAGGAAACTCTGGTCCAGGGAGGCTCTGACTTGCTCAGCACCAAAAGGTGGATGTGATTGAACCCAGGTCCTCTGGCCCCACCACTCTGCTGTGTTTTATGAATTGAATTGAAAACTGAGCTGCCTACTTACAGTGACTAACTACCCAGTAGCTCCCATGGGACTCTGCCAGATGGTGAGGTCCTGTGCGAGGGAGGACATGCTTGTTGTCTGCAACTTAAAACCAAACATGATTTTTGGCAAAATCTATCAATTTCTTTAAAAAAAACCAGCCCAATAAAACAAACCCAACTCATTTCACTCAGTGTGGTGTTGCAGCTAGTAATGGGGATGGGGGTTGAGTATCTGTCTAGTCCAAACTTGGATTGCCATATAAAAACTAAGAGAACTAGGCTGTAACACCCGTGGGTAAGTAGTATCTAGCTTTAGAATAAAATACCAGCTATGTCAGTCAAAAACCAGCAACTCTACTTTCAGTTCTGCTACTAAACATCAGTGTAGTCTCTGGGCCCAGTTATTTGTTTCTCATGGCAGTATGGTATATGGGAAAGGGAAGGGAACAGGCATTTATTAAGAGCTAGCTGTGTTCCAGGCACTGTGCAAAATAGCAACTTCAGTCCTCATTATTGTCCTCATTTTAAAGCTGGGGAAATTGAGGCAGTGGATAAATGACTTGCCTAGGGCCAAGTAAGTGTCTGAGGCAGGATTTGAACTCAGGTCTTCTCGACACTAGGCCCAACTCGTTATTATGCCACCTTAGCCACTCAGAGAAATAAAAAGAGATAGTGTTGGATTTGTCAGAGTACCTGGGTTGGAATCCTACTTCGCTACTTACTACTTGTGTGGCCCTGGGTAAATTACCTAACCTGTCTGGGTCTCAGTTTCCTTATTTAGAAAATTGGGAGGGGCAGGTAGGTGGCACAGTGGAGAGAGCACTGGCCCTGAAGTCAGGAGGACCTGAGTTCAAATCCAGCCTCAGACCAAATACTTGACACTGTGTGACCCTGGGCAAGTCACTTAATCCCAAATTGCCTAAAAAAACCTGGGGATTAAGGAAAATTAGATAGTCCCTAAGGTTCCTTCAAGCTCTAAATCTATTTTTCTGTGATAAAATCATAGACCAATAGAAATGGAAGGGAGCTGAGATCTTCTAGTCCATGTTTTATAGATGAAACTGAGGCCAAGACTGTTAAAGACATATTAAAAAACACATGGGTAATTAGTGGGCAGCACCCAGTCTCTTATCTTTCAGTTCAGTGTGCTTTCCATTATAAAACTTTGCTGAGGGAGTTACTGTCTGTAGAGGAAAGTCAATTAATGTTGACTGCCCAAAATGTGCCAAGTGGGCTTGTTAGTCTTATTCATTCTTCCATTTTCCTGACTTTAAAGTTTAACTGCATATCTCATTTGATTCTTCCTTAGAATTCCCTTCAGCATTTTGGAGCCTGAGAGATTCATTGTTTACTGAAATATGTCTATATGTGAAGACATGTTGCTCTGTAATTATCGAAAGTGTCGCATCAGGCTCTCTGGCTATGCATGGGTAACTGCTTGCTCACACATCTTCTGTGACCAGCATGGCAGTGGTGAGTTCAGTCGGTCTCCAGCCGTCTGCCCTGCCTGCAATAGTACCCTTTCCGGTAAGCTAGACATTGTTCGAACCGAGCTCAGTCCCACAGAGGAATACAAAGCCATGGTGTTGGCAGGGTTGAGACCAGAAATAGTTTTGGATATTAGCTCCCGAGCACTGGCGTTCTGGACATACCAGGTAAATTGTGGCTGTTACTCCACTTGTATAGAGATTATGCCTTGAACTAATGCATGTGTTCTTCTTATTTGCTTAAATCATAAACTTTTTGAGGACTCCGATTTTTTATTTTGAAATGCTACTATATATTTTTGAACATGTCATTATGTACTATATATGTGTTTGGATTAAAACTATCCTGAAGTTGCGTTTACGATGATGTTTGCACATTTCATAACAGTATGAAATAACATCAGTATCATATACTGGTATAATGTAATTGAAAAGGAATAATGTATTATTTATTTTCTTAGTAAGGGTGAATGAAATCTGGTAAAAATGTAATAATAAATTTCAGATGTAAAAGAGTCTTGGATTTACCCTGTGATTTTAAAAATTAGGAGGATGGTGGGACAAAAATTCTTCAGGGATAAAAGAGGATCAGTAAGAAAAAATAGTCTAATTACATTATTTAGCAATTATAATAAAGCTCCCTGCATCTGTGATTCCACATTGTTGAATTGTGAAATTAAGTAAATTAAGTTAATTTTGATCGAAGAACTGTGATCAGAAATCATGATAGATCCTGTGAGTTAGGTAACACTAACTGCATTTTTACAAAAGGGATACTAAGGCACAGAAAAAGACAGTAACATGACCATGTATTACTACTTCTCATGTCAAGCAGTTCCTACTTTAGATGCAGAAGTTTTCTGGAACGGCATCTTAAAGCAGATCACTACAGGGCAAAGTCTCAACTGTAGAGGTGGTCTCCCTGATTGTATATATCTAGCACTGGCTATTGGGGAAAATTGATAATAGCAGCAAGTTTATTGTAGATATAAGTACTAGGCAGCATTAAATAAAGTGAACAGTGACAAGAGCAGGACAACTAGGTGGCACAGTGGATAGAGTGCTGGGCCTAGAGTCAGGAAGACTCATCTTTGTGAGTTTCATTCTGCCCTTAGATACTTACTGTGTGACCCTGGGCAAGTCACTTAATCCTGTTTGCCTCAGTTTCCTCATCTGTCAAATGAGCTGGAGAAGGAAATGACAAACCATTCCATTATCTTTTGCCAAGAAAACTACAAATGGGGCCAAAGAGTGGGACACGACTGAACATCAACAACAACCACAAAAAGCAGAGAATGCCTTTGAGTCATGCTGAAATATTTAAAAGTTATTCAAGTACAAACCTGGTTTATATGAACTTGCCACAGAAAAGGAAAGCTTAATTATTTCAAGATAGTAGAGTGAGTAGTCTGTAAGTCCAGCTCTTCTACACTAGCTCAAAGCAAAAATAAAACTACTACCAAATACAGTAAAGGAATAACAAGAGTTAACACAGAGGAAAAGAAAGAAACCTTTATAGAGAGATACTAGGAGGAAAATTAACAACAACAAAAAAGAAGAAATAAGTATGCAAAAAATGAAAAAAAACTATGTAGTAAAAGAAGGCAAGGAGAAAATTCCAGAAAGAGCAACAGTTTCACCTCTAGAAGAGTTAATGGACAGAGAAAAGGAAACTTCAGAGCAGTTTAGAATCACAATAAGAGATATAAAGGAAGAGCTGACATCTCTGTATAAGACAGGAAATAGGACCACTAATCAAAGAATTGGGGAAGATGAACATAATAAATGACAAAATAGAAAAGACAATGGAAAATCTCAATAAATCAGTGGACTTTTTGATTCAATTCAATTCAATAAACATTTATTCAAAGCCTGCTATGTGGTTGACACTGTGCTAAGCACTAGGGAATACAAAAAGAGGCAAAAAAGAGTCCTTACCATCATCTGTCTACCATGGAATCCAATGGAGGAGACAACATGTAAGCAGATATATACAAAGCTAGCTATACACGGGATAAAAAGGAAATAATTAACAGAGGGAAAGTATTGGAATAAAGAGAAATTAGGTATGATTTTAGTTGAGATTTAAAGGAAACTAGGGAGGTCAGTAGTCAGCATAGACGAAGAAGAATGTTCCTGGCATAGGGGATATTCTGAGAAAATGCCTGGAGCTGAGAGATGGAGTAGCTTATTTGTGGAACAGTCAGGAGGCCAGTACCACTGGATAGAAGAGTACCTGTTGTGGAGTGATGTAAGAAGATTAGAAAGGTAGGAGAGGGCTAGGTTATGAAGGGCTTTGAAAGCCCAACAAAGCATTTTGTATTTGCTCTGAAGGCAATAGTAAGCCACTGGAATTTATCAAGTAGGGAGATGACATGATCAGACTTGCATTTTAGGAAAATCATTTTTGTGGCTGAATGGTGAATGGACTGGAATGGGGAGAGACTTGAGGCAGGCAAACCCAATAGCAGGACTAGAATGATTTAGGAAGAACAGAGAAAATAAATTCCAGGCAGAAGAACAAATATCAGAACAAAATTTAAAAAATGCAAGGATGGGAGATAAGATTTCTTTAAAAAAAAAAAAAGAGCAGTTAGGTGACACAGTGGATAGAGCACAGAAGGACCTGAGTTCAAATCCAGCCTCAGACACTTACTAGCTGTGTGTGTGTGACCCTGGGCAAGTCACCTGGGGGGTTCCCCCTACCCCCCAGCCAAAAAGAGCTGGAAGTAGAGATGAAATATTAGAATTATTGCTCTCCCAGAAAAATACAGTTTAAATACCATTAGGAATGAATCTTATTTCATTTGTTAAAGGGAAATCCTAGGTGAGGAAATTCATTTTGTTAATGACGGTTGGCACCTTTTTATAGTGTTTCAATGAAAATGAGAGGTTAAGTGACTTGCCCAGGGTTACTGTATGTGTCCTTATTGGGGCTTAGAACCACATCCTTTTGGCTTAGATGAAGGGGTGGGAAACCTTTGGTCGTGGGGCCACGAGGCCCTCTAGGTCCTCAAGTGTGGCCTTTTGATGGAATCCAAACTTCACAGAAGAGAGGCTTGCTCTCCATGAGCTACAGCGTACTGCTTCTCACCTAAATACCATCTCCCAATAAATTATTACTATTTACTGAGCATAGTGGAAACAGAGGACAAAGTGTAAATCTGTAGGGTTCTTTTCTGTCGACCTCCTTTTGAAATCAAAGTTCACCTCACCTAGGAAAGTAGTTGTCAAGTTGTGGAGTTTTATATATATGGAGAGAGTCTTATAAGCAACTAGGAGGAAACAGTTTACACACACACACACACACACACACACACACACACACACACACACAGAATTATGTAACTTGAGTACGGACAAGGAATGAAGGAAAAAAATAGCGTGAAATATGCTAAAAAGCAAGAGAGCTTGGCTTTCAATCAATGGCTATCCTGTAAAACTGAGCATACTTTATCTTGGAAAAATATAATTATTGAATGAGATTAAAAAATTTAAATATTTGATGATGAGAAATACAGAAATGAGAATGGTCTTTGCCTTGGTAGCTTTGGATATTTTCTTGATTGCCTTTTTTTAGTTATGAGGCCCATTTTTTTTTTCTAATCATTTAGTATCTTCCTTTTTGTCAGATATCTTGAGAATCTATACTTCAACATGCTGAAAATTCTGTTGCTTCTAGTTCAGACCTCCTTTGTATATACTCGTGTCCAGTTCCTTTTCCGATCTTGGTTTTCTTTAAGGCCATTCTTCATAAAATCCTTTGGGGACTGAAATGTTAGCATCCAAAATGTGGAGGTCCAACTGTCATTTATGGAGAAGATAGTTTGTTGTGGAAATCTTAACATATCTTTTCAGTTTGTTTGTGTTCATCCTTCTAATTTGATCTGTTAGTGTTTTAGGAGATGATTTGGTTTAATTGGTTTTTATTCCAAGCTTTCTATAAACTAAATTTTCCCACTATTGCTTCTTATTGTTTTATAAGATGGTATTGCTCGTAATTTTTCCCCGTCCTCTTAAGATTTTTTTTCTGTAAGATTTTACAAACAAGTTTATACTCTAAACTAAGTGTTATCCTTTACTGATATAGATCTTTGCTTGGCAAGGAAAAAAGTTTTTCATCTCTAAAATGGAGGGATTCGTCTGGTTGTGCTTTGAGGCCTTTTCCAGTGATAGATCTATGAATGCATGAACCAATGAACTGCTTTAGGAAATTATGTTAGTCTATTTAGATATCTGTTTCTTTATATATTTCCCACTTTCCAGCTTCAACAGCTTTTTTAAACAAAACATATTAGAACTGCCTCAATTGCATGTCATATTGTCTTATTTTCATTCTTGTAATTTGACGTTGATTTTGATGTTCTAACATGTCAGTGGTCTGATTATATACATAGGCAGCTGATTTGGAAATTACTCCTGCACATGTTAACTAGTCATTTCCTGTTGGAATATAGTCACTTTCATTGTTTATGGTGATTTTATTAGGTGTTTTTACCATGTCCAGAAGTTAATAATTTTCTTCTTGAAGAAAATATTCATCAACATATAGGCACAATATAATATCTGTAATGTATAACATCTATACCTTTGGGCTTTTGTGTTTCTTACTTTTGAACCATGTTTTAGAACATATTCTTCTCCATCTTCTCCACGCCCCACCTTTGCATTAAGGTTATTATGTATGAAAGAATATGTTCATTTAGTTTGGAAGGTCTTAATAAGTCCATCTTAGAATTTATCTCCCTTCTTGTTCTGTGCAATAGATTTTGGTGCATAAACTATTATCTTCCTGATGGTCTTTTTGCTTATGCTTATGAATACTGCAAGACAAAATGGCCAAGTGTCCTATGAAATGTTTCTTCTTGCCTTTGGATACATAACATAAACTCTGTCAGTTCCTTCATTGGCTTCTCCAAGGAGAACTTGTTGAACTGTCTTTCCATTTAGCTACAATTTACTTTTGTCTTCAGATTTCATTTATTGTAAAAATGTCACTGCTGATGTATTCACTTTTTTTAGTACTCAGCCCATTCGTTGGTTTCTGCACAAAGATCTCTTAACTTCGCTAATAGTGAAGTTAATATTTACGATAGTCTAAAACTCTGTGATTCTTAGCAATATTGGCCCTCTTTTCTGCCATCATTACTGCAGAAGAAGGGTAAGGGGCCACATGGGACTGTGGGCTATTTTGTTTTTTTCTTATTTCATGTATTGCCATTGCCAAAGAATTCATCATTAAGCAACTAGCCTACTCATTGGTGATGAATATCTCCATACTTAGCTAATTTGATTCACAAAAAAGCAGGAATCTTTTGCTGAAGTCATATTCATATGTTTTATACCATTTAACTTAATAAATTCAAAATGAATAAATGAATTAAATATAAAAAGTCACTATTAAAAGGTGAGAAGAGAATGGAAGGTGATATCTCTCATAACTGTGGCTTGGAGATGAATTTGTGGCCAACCAAAACATAGAAAATTATACAAAAGACTAAATAAATTATTTTTCTATAAAAATAAAAAGCGTTTGTACAAATAAATGAATTCATTAGTGATAAGAAAAGATAAGGACTGGGAAAAGATCTTTATATAAATATCTCTGACAAAAGTTTGACCTGTAGAATTGGCACATGTAAGATTAAATATCATTTCCCAGTTAATAAGTGATTATGAATATGAACAAAGAAGGAAAACAAACTAAAAATAATCCTATTTAAAATGCTCAGGATTGTTATTAATGAGAGAAATGAAAACTGAAACATTTCTGAAGTATTACTCTATACATTAGATTGGCAAGGATAGCAAAATTCGTTGTTACTGGAGCTACAAAAATAATTGCACTAATTCATTGCTGGTAGAACTGTGAATTGACCTAACCATTTCCAAAAAGATTATGGAATCATGCAAGAAAGGTTAGAAAATTGTCTGTGCCCTTTAACCCTGTGATCCTGTTATTGAGTTTATACCCCAACAAGGTTATTGACAAGAAAAGACCTATCTGTATGAAGTATTTCTAATAATTTAATTTTTACTACTAAAAAATTAGTAGTAAATTCCATATCTAGGAATTGAAGACTGTCTGAACAAATTGAGGTATTTGAACTTAATGAACTAATACTGTACCATAAGAGATGATGAATATTAAGAGTTCATAGAAGTAGAGAAAGATTAGTGTGAAGTGATACAGAATGAAAAAAGCAGAGGCAAAAGAACAATATACACAGTTCCTATAACAAGTAAAGAAAGACAACTTTGAATGGCAACATAACTCAGATGGAAAACACTGGAGAATATTGGTACTAACTCATTGATATTGAATTGCCATCATCTTTTTAGTTTGTTTTACTTAACTTTTTTTCAGGCATTACATGTTGAGGGGGATTCAACTGGAAGCAACTAGAAGTATTCTAGGGGTTTGTATGGTGCATTGAAATATATTATCAATGAAAAAAAATTTCAAAGAAAAATAGGATCATCTGCTTTTTCAAAAAGCAACAACTAGGGAAAAATATGACATTGGCCAAGGTTAGACTTATTGAAAGAATAACCATGCCTTAACTTAGTTCTGGAAGTTAAAGTTATTATCTTAATATCTTTCTTTCCTTTGTGCATTCATTTATTTCTCTGTCACTTGTGCAAACTTTTACAACATACTAAAGGTGGTAAAATTTTCATTCTTTACTTTAATAATTTTTCCTTTTATTGTTCTGAATAGGTGCATCAAGAGCGTCTTTATCAAGAATATAATTTCAGCAAGGCTGAGGGCCATCTGAAACAGATGGAGAAAGTATATACTCAGCAGATCCAGAGTAAGGATGTGGAGCTGACTTCTATGAAAGGGGAAGTCACCTCTATGAAGAAAGTGTTGGAGGAGTACAAGAAAAAGTTCAGTGACATCTCTGAGAAACTCATGGAGCGCAATCGCCAATATCAGAAACTTCAGAGTCTCTATGATAGCCTTAGATTACGAAACATTGCCTTTGCTAACCATGAAGGAGTTCTGGAGCCATCCATGATCTCTCAGCCAGCTGCTTTTGGTTTCCCAACAGGTAAGGACAGGGTGAGATCATAAGCAATGTTTATCCTTTAAACCAGAAGTTATATAAGATGGACAAGTATGTCATTTTACTTTCTTCGGGATAAAACAGCCAATGTAATTGACACCATAATTGTACTTTCCTCTTTCTAGGAATTTTACCAATAGAACTAGAAGTAGAACTCAGGTCTCTTCTTGTATTCTACTCATAATACATTGGTCTTGAAGTGGTACTGTCTGATAGATCTTTTCTATAATATACATGCACATATATTATATATACATATATATGTATGCATGTATGGCGAGAGAGAGAGAGAGAGAGAGAGAGAGAGAGAGAGAGAGAGAGAGAGAGAGAGAGAGAGAGAGAGAGAGAGAGAGAGAGAGAGAGAGAGAGAGAGAGAGAGAGAGAGAGAGAGAGAATGAGGCTAGAGAGGCTAGGTTATAAGAGTTCATTTCTGTTGCTGGTCAGATTTCTTTTGAGTAGTAGGGTAGCATTTGGTTCATGAATATTAAGAAACCTTTCATATTTTACTTAAATATAGCTTTCTCCGAGGTAGGCAGTATAATTTATTGGATAGCTCTAGCTAGCTGTGTGGCAACAAATGCATTACTACTTAAGGAAAAGTACTATGTATGTTGATAATATGTATATGTAGACTATGTATATATGTATATACAAGTATATATATATGGCCCCACTCTCCCAGATTAAGTCTGGCTACATTTCCTCCATTAGGGTTCTAAGGGTTGGATGGTCTCTTCTCTAATACTCAACTCAAGCTTCTGTTCTGGGGGTGTTCCCCACACTATTAGCCACCAATGATTAGTGCCCCATTTCCATTTAACCACTCAACATCAATTAGCTTTTACAAAGGGCTATTTACTTCAAAGATATGGCAAGAACAGAAGTATATACAATTTCCCTCAACACCCTGAGGGGTATACTTTCCTTTTGGTCCCACAGAGTTCATATCCAAGTGCGATAATCACTACAATGTTGAGAGTTCCTCTCAGCTACTACTCCTTACTTCTCAGAACACCAGTGCTGGGATGGCTGAAAAACTCAGTATGGACTTTGACTCCTGGATCTTGGGTAGCTTGATCTCCTGATCTTTCAGAATTCCCAAGGTTATAGCCTCCAACAAGTGATCATGCACTGAGGCAAAGAACTAAGGCCCATATTCATGGTACCATACGTCAGTCTTAGATGGGGAGGGCCCAAAGCCTCTCACCCTCATAGTGTTGTCATCTTTCACTGGAGCACTGACAGCTGGAAGAAGCCAGCTGAAGAGAGGTTAGATCAAGAGAGGAAGGACTTGTCCAATGCCTTTTGAATGCCTCCCCAGTTCTGTATCAAAAGCTACAGGCAATCAAGAGGCTTATCTATGTGGTTAATGGCAGGAACCAGTTACAGAATGTCTTTTTATTCTTTAAAGTTTCTTCCAAGGCATTTCTATTATATATCATCATAAGTCTCCTGGACGAAAGGTCTCTAGCCTCTTCTTTGTGGGAAACTGCAACAGTGGTACTCTGTGCATATTTTTAAGGGCCGGACTTAGTGGTCAATCTCCTATATATGTACAATTAGACTAATATTTTACAGTACTTCAATGGGTCTGAATTCTTATGTGTGGTTATTTCCTCCAGTGGTGCAGATCTCCATTCATACCTTCTCATTCTTGCCTGTGCCCTCTTTTAAATCCTCCATATGGGGTTTACCTAATGTCTTTAAGGCTTTCCCTCTAGGTGTCCTGATATCACTTGAGAACCACTGTAGTATATGGAATATGGATTGTAATTTCATTTTTTGGGGGAAGCTGTTAAATCTATGATATTTTTTTCTAACTGTTTTCTTCTCCTCTTTCAGATGTCTTGAGAATCCTTGCTTTAATTGTATCAAAATTGTATTACTTCTAGCATGGCCCACTTCTAGGCATATTTGGGTTTGGTCTATCTGATCTCCATTTTCTCATTTTTGTTTTCTTTAATGACATTTCTAATTCCTTATAAAATACATTGGCAATTGTGGTGTTAAGAGTACAGATAATTCTTTCTTTACTGGGATGTCCCCAGACCTTTGTGTAAAGCAATTTTTACATCATGCAAACAAGGCAAATTTAGGGTTAGAATTGGAGCCAGAGGGTTAGGATTAAGGTTACAGTTGGAGTCAGAGGTGGAGTCAGTGTCAGATTTAGGGTTAGGGTTAGAATTTGTCCCTACTCACCCACTTCTTCATTTAGCCTATATAACAAAGGTACACGCAAAATAATACTTTTATGCAAGTCATAAAATGTACTCAAATGCAGACATAGTAAATGTCGTACCATGACAAGAAGTAGAATTATGAAATGAAAGGTAAAATTAATGATAAAGTATACACAGTACTGTCCAGTAAAATTAATGTAGGTGTGCAATATATTGCTCCTTCCCCACCCACTGTATCTATCCTTTATCACTGGCGGTTGGTTGAAATTTCATTTAGAATTCTTTATGTAAAGTCAAATTTGTGTAAGGTGAATTTACATAAAGCACAAATTGTCTATACAAATATGATGGCTTTACTAACATTAATGGAGAGAAGAGTTTGTTGTAGAAATATTGACAGATCTTTTCCATTTTATACCTGTTTGTTGTTTCTCCTAGTTTCATTTTTAAGTACTCTTAGGATAATATGGTTTAATTAGTTCTCATGCTGAGTTTTCTATCACTTCATCCCACTGGTTTATGAGCTCAGACTGTTTATGATCTTCTACCATCCTCTTTCATAAGAGTTTAAATTAATTTATAGTTTAAAATGGAGTTGTCTTTTGCTGCTCTCTTTCTCTATTTATCAAGGAGATCAAATTTTTGTTAGCAGAGTTGGTTTCTAGTTTCATCTGGCTGCTCCTCAGAGGCAATTTCTTTACATTAGTTAACCTTCCAGTGCTTATGCTTGTCATGAGCACTGCAAGAGAAAATAGACTACATGAATGTTACATGTTACATGAAAATGTTGCATGAAATATCTCTCATTACCTTTTTATATATGATAAAGTCAATTATACTAATTTCCTTCTTTTCCTCTCCAAAGGTGTGTGTCATCCTTCCATTTAGCTTCAATTTCTTTTCTTTCCTTTTTTTTTTTTTTTGGCAAGGCAATTGGGGTTAAGTGACTTGCCCAGGGTCACACAGCTAGTGAGTGTCATGTGTCTGGATTTGAACTCAGATCCTCCTGACTCCAGAACTGGTGCTCTATCCACTATGCTACCTAGCTGCCCCTAGCTTCAATTTCTTTTAGTCTTTTTTTTGGGGGGGGCAGTTGGTGTTAAGTGACTTGCCCAGGGTCACACAGCTAGTAAGTGTCAGGTGTTTGGTCTGAGTCTGGATTTGAACTCAAGTCCTTCTGACTTCAGGGCCAGTGCTCTATCCATTGTGCCACCTAGCTGCCCCTCTTTTTGTCTTTTAATTTTACTTATAATGAGAATGTCAGTGTTGCTGTGATAGTAGAATGTATCATTGGACACTGGACAAATATTTCACATTTAGAATGACAAAAGTTAATATTTAACTTGTACAGGCTAAAACTATTTTTTATATAAATTTATTTTTAGTTTTCAACATTCACTTCTACAAGTTTTTGAGTTCCAAATTTTCACCCCATCTCACCTCTCCCCCCACCCCAAGATGGCATGCATTCTGAATATCCCTTCCCCTAGTCTGTCCTCTCTTCTATCTCTCCCCCTTCTCTTATCCCCTTCCCCTTCTGTTTTCCTGTAGGGCAGGACAGACTTCTGTACCCCATTTCCTGTATTTCTTATTTCCCAGTAGCATGTGAAAACATTTTTTTAAAACATATGTTTTTAAAACTTTAGGTTTAAAATTTTCCTCTTCCTCCCTCCCCACCCACTCTCATTGAAAAGTCAAGCAACCCAATATAGGTTATACATGTGCAGTTATGCAAAACACTTCCATAGTAGACACATTGTGAAAAACTAACTCTATTTCCCTTAACCCTATCCTGCCCTCCCATTTATTCTATTCTTTCTTTTGACCCTGTCCCTCCTCAGAAGTATTTACTTCTGATTACCCCTTTCCCAATCTGCCCTCCTCTCTATCATCCCCCTGCTCTCTTGTCCCCTTCTCCCCCTATTTTCCTGTAGGGTAAGACAGATTTCCATACCCAATTGAATGTGTATGTTATTCCCTCCTTAAGCCAAATCCTATGAGAATAAGATTCACTCATTCCCTCTCACCTTCCCCATTTCCCCTCCACTGTAAGAGACTTTTCTTTTCTGTTTTTTTTGTGAGATAATTTACCCCATTCTACCTCTCCCTTTCTTCTTCTCCGAGTATCATCCTCTCTCATCCCTTAATTTTATTGTCCAGATATGACCCCTTAATCTTCAACTCACCCTGTGCCATCTATCTATCTATCTATACATACATATAATTTTTTTCCTCCAACTACCCTAATACTGACAAAGGTCTCATGAGTTATAAATATCATCTTTCCATGCAGGAATGTAAACAGTTCAATCTTAATAAGTCTCTTATGATTTCTCTTTCCTGTTTACCTCTTCATGTTCCACTTGAGTCCTGTATTTGAAAGTCAAATTTTCTATTCAGCTCTGGTCTTTTCATCAAGAATGCTTGAAAGTCCTCTATTTCACTGAATGACCATTTTTTCCCCTGAAGGATTATACTCAGTTTTGCTGGGTAGGTGATTCTTGGTTGTAATCCTATCTCCTTTGCCCTCCGGAATATTATATTCCATGCCCTGCGTCCTTTAATGTAGAAGCTGCTAAATCTTGTGTTATCCTGATTGTGTTTCCACAGTACTTGAATTGTTTCCTTCTGGCAGCTTGTAATATTTTCTCCTTGACCTGGGAACTCTGGAATTTGGCTATATTCCTAGGAGTTTTCCTTTGGGGATCTCTTTCAGGAGGAGATCTGTGGATTCTTTCAATTTCTATTTTGCCCTCTGGTTCTACTATATCAGGGCAGTTTTCCTTGATAATTTCTTGAAAGATGATGTCTAGGCTCTTTTTTTGATCATGGCTTTCAGATAGTCCAATAATTTTTAAATTCTCTCTCCTGGATCTATTTTCCAGGTCAGTTGTTTTTCCAATGAGATATTTCACATTGTTTTCTAATTTTTCATTCTTTTGGATTTGTTTTACAGTGTCTTGATTTCTCATAAAGTCACTAGCTTCCAATTGCTCTATTCTAATTTTTAAGGAAGTATTTTCTTCAGTAATCTTTTGGACTTCCTTTTCCATTTGGCCAATTTTTCTTTTTAGGGCATTTTTCTCCTCATTGGCTTTTTGGACCTCTTTTGCCATTTGGGTTAGGCTATTTTTTAAGGTGTTATTTTTTTCAGTATTTTTTTGGGTCTCCTTTAGCAAGCTGTTGAGTTGTTTTTCATGATTTTCTTGCATCACTCTCATTTCTCTTCCCAGTTTTTCCTCTACTTCCCTTACTTGCTTCTCAAAATCCCTTTTGAGCTCTTCCAAGGCCTGGGACTGATTCATATTTTTCTTGGAGGCTTTGGATGTAGGAGCTTTGACTTTGTTGTCTTCTGGTTGTATATTTTGATCTTCTTTTTCACCAAAGTAAGATAATATAGTCTGACTCTTTTTGCACTGCTTGCTCAGGATCCTGGACAATTACTTGAGTTTTAAACTCTTTGTCAAGGTACGAATCTGCTTCCAATGTGTAGAATGTACTGTCCCAAGCTTCAGGGGTTTGTACAGTTGTTTTCAGAGATACTTGTAGGGACCTGTAAATTTTCAGTTCTTCCAAGGTGGTATGATAAGGGGCAAGGTGTTTACTCCTTTCCTGGCCTGTGACCACAAGTACTGCTTTCTGTCCTGTAATTGTGAGGAGGGGTTCTTCTCTACAGCCACTACAAACTCCACCACCAGCGCTCCTCCTCACCGGAGCACCACTGCCCAGAACTGTGACCCAGATCCAAACACGGGCAAAGCAAGAGATCCCTGCAATCCCTCTCTGATCAGCCACTGGATTCCTCCTCAGTCTATGGGCCGGAAGCACGGGAAGCAGCTGGCCCGTCCCCCCCCCCCCATGCTCTTGGGGAATGGAGCTGAGACCCTGCCTTCCTGTCTCAGCACCGCAGAAACAGACTTTTCCCGCTGACCTTCTAAGTTGTCTTTGGCATTTGTGGATTGAGGAGTCTGGAAACCTCCACAGCTGCCCAAGATTCAGTCCTCTGAGGCCTCTTCTAGGTTCGCTGTGGCCTGCGCGCCCATGCCATGCTGCGCTCCTAGCCCGGCGCGATATGTCTTTCTGATCAACCATCCAAGTTGTCTTGGGCTGGAAATTTGTTTCACTCTGTCTTTTTGTGGGTTCTGCTGCTTTAGAATTTGTTTAGAGCAATTTTTTATGAGTATTTGGAGGAGTTTGGGGGGAGAGCTCAAGCAAGTCACTGCTTTCACTCTGCCATGTTGGCTCCACCCCCCTCTAGGCTAAAACTATTGCAAACCATTTTGTCCTTCCCTCAAACCTCGCATGTGACAACCCTTCTTTCCATGCTTTCAGGTGAGTACTTTGCCTCATACTTCACCAAAAATTTGAATTCATTTGCTTAGAGCTCCCTCTTCTCTCTTCCTCCCTTTTTCACATCACTTTGATGCCTTATAATACTATATCCTTCACCCCTTCACCGCTATATCACTTAAAGTAGTGACTTCATTTTTTCTGAAAGGAGTACATGGTAGAATATAACAGTATATCAGATATTTAAAACAAAACAAAAACTTGTATAAGAGGTCTTGTGAGCAAGTATATTTCGGCTCAGTCTCCTTAGTCATCTACAGAGAATTGTACATTGTGGGGGATGCTCAGAATATTACTAAGCACCACAAAAACCTGAATCATCTAAGAAAAATGAGTTATTTGATTTTTAAAATATATTAAACACTTACTATAATCAAGGCCCTGTGCTGGGGAAAAAAGGTGAATGTTGTAAGGGTTTTCTTTTAACTGTAATTCTGTGATAATCATAAGCACATTCTAGTTCTACCCCAAATCCATGTCTTTACTTTTGCAGACTACTTTTGATATGGAATCAGAAGCTAGCTATGAGTGAATAATTGAACAGAAATGTGTGTCAGGCACATTGGAGGTGATTATAGACTTTCTCTTATCACTCTCAGGATTATATTTTTCTTCTTTGAGGATTGAGTTTCAGTCAACAATGCTCATTATCTGTTCTTACAGATCTGCAAGAAAATAGGTATCTAAATTCTGTTCTGTTCTTTCTTTTTCTCCAGGGAATACTTCCAAGTTTCCTGTGGATATGACACCAGTTCGGAACTGGGGCAGTGGTGATGGAGACTTCCAGTTCAGACCATTTTTTGTGGGCTCTCCCACAGCAGCTGAACCTAGCAATAACTTTTTCAGTTTTGCTTCTCCCAGCCATGAAGCATTGCCACAGCCAGGTGGTAGCAGAGCTTTTAAAGTGAAAAGAATGTAGCCCATCTTGGAAACAGAGGGCAAAGTGAGAAAGAGGGGAATTTATCATTTATCATAACTATGCCTGCCTACTGTGCCTCATTTTTTCAAAGTTGAATTCACTAAGAATCTAGTTTGCTTTCTTGCTCTTCTCTGGTGGTTTCTAACAGTAAATGGATCCTAGTTATGGTGTAGCCATTCTTATGGCAAGTATTGTTGCTCATTCATGAGGTTATGAGTTTCCTTGTGCTATTAGTTATACAGAGTTTGTTGCTTTCTGTGAGAAACTTATGAGGAAGGAAGTTGGCTTTGGATTCTTTTCTTTTGCCAATGTTATTTTGAATAATGAATGCACTGTTTTATTAAACTCAGTTTGTGAACTGTTGCTTATTTGTGATCAGTAGTATTCAGACAAATGTGGCGATGTGTTGGCATTTAGAACAACATTTAGCTTATTGTAACTGTCTGGCTTGTATGGCCACATATTGCTATATTCATAAAGTCTTAAATATTGGAATATCTGAGTTTAGATATATGATCATTGTGACTTCTTTAAGTATGTGTATATATATATAGTTATCTGAGTATGTAGGTTCTGGTATTTATGTGTGTGCATTTTATTTCACACTTGCATCTTTGTTATCATATTTATGTATATATTTAACTTGGGAAATACATATGAATCTATGATTAGATGCTTTTGATATATTTCTGTATTTATGTGTATCTCTTGATATGTTTATATTTGTGTGTCATTGTGTCAGCATGTATCTGAAGTGTATTCATTCAGGAATGCATAAGTGAACATCTTATTGCATTGACATTTGTTTGTCAAGTCTGTATTTCAATTTAAAACTAGTCAGACTGATAAGGATTATTATTTCTTTAAGTTGGCTCTTAGGTATCCATTTCAACATGAAACATGAAAATAGTTTTACCTTATCATTTATTGTCTCAGTTTTGCTTTATTAGAGACATACACATACATACATATACGTGTGTGTATGTGTACATATATATTGCACATATACTGTAGAAAGTTTGCCTAACCTTATATACAAATTCATATAAATTATATATTATAATAGCACTTCCCTTATAGGGCTGTTGTGAAAATCAACATATACACACAAATATATATAATTCATACATACGGTGCTTTATATAAATGCTAGCTGTAACCAACACATAGTTCATTTTAGAGATGACATTAAAATGCTTTTTGAAGAATAGTTTCCTGTATGCTCTTGTCAGAGACTGAACATTTTTAACTCTTTCCACAGACGAGTAAAAATTAAACAGGTATCTGTTTAAAGGATAGACTGTGACTTTGGAGCTTCAGGAAGATATATGATATATGTTGAAAAAACACTGGTTAAGGATTTAGGACGTGTAGATTCTCATTTAGTTTTGTGACTTTGAGATGCTCTGTGCTTTAATTTCCTTATCTGTAAAATAAGTGGATTAAACTAACTGGCCTCTAGTTTTCCTCTCTAATTTTATGATTTTTTTTTGGTAGATTAGGAAAAAGAATAGTGAAATTTTTCTTGGTGTTTCAGTAATACAAATAAAAGAATAACTGACATTATATAGTGTTTTAAGGTCTGCAAAGCCTCATTTGTAACCAACAACAACCCTGGCTTTATCAATCAAAAAACATTTAAATGCCTACTATGTGCCAGGCACTGCTAAGTGCTCCCTAAATGCCAGATCCGAATGTACTTGATGTAAAAAGAACATAATGAAATGTTGATGTACATAAAATAAATCTGGGATGTTTTTATTTGATGCTGGGAGAGGGTGTAAAAGCACGTCTCATTTTACATATTTGAGCACCAAAAGGCCTTTATAAGAGAACTAAGTTTTGTTGTAATTCAAAGAAGTAAAAATTGGTTGCCAAGAACGTGCGTGATAGCTTTTGGTTTCCTAAGTGTGGAGAGCTCTTGATGTGGAAATCTCTACTATGGTAGAATGGCACACTTCTCATCTGCAAACTATAGCCCTAGTGCCTGGGGGTCTGGAGAAGTTCAGTGACTTCCCTCAGGCTCACACAGCTACCATAGAATGAACGTGTCCCAGGCAAGCCCGGAACAAGAGGTCTTCCTGACTCCCCTATGTGCTGCCTCTTTTGTCCCTGCTCGGGAATGGGCTGGCCTGCAGTTAAAATGAGACATGAGAACACGGTGGCTATAGGATTTGGGCCACAGCCATATGTTGTATATAGTGTACAATGCATACATATTTACAGAATATGGATGTACACAAAAATATGCACGTGAAAATATGCCTCCCTACAGCGACTTGCCTCCCCGTCGGGGTTTCGTTTGCAGAAAGTTGCTAGGGCACGGAGGAGCAGACGGACGGACGAACCCCGTGGGCGTCCGTCGGGCGCTGCGCCACGTGAGCAGGGGAGCCTCCCCTCCTCTAGATGTCACTGTGGCTCCGCGCGAGTTCCTGTTTCTCTGTGGTTGTAACGCTGGGGGGAGGCGAGGGCTGTAGCCGGAGGAACGATGGCTGAAGAAGAGGAGGAAGCCAAACACCCCGTGCAGCTCTTGCAAGTAGGGGCCGGGGGCAAAAGCGCTTAGGCTAGACTGGTTTGTTGGGGGTGATTCCGCGCGCCCAGCCATGCTGCCGGGTGGATGCGGGGTGTAGTTACTCTACAAACTCTTTCCCGAGTAGGGGGGCCGTTACTGGGGGTGCGGAAGCGTCCTGGCCTGGGGGTGGGGGTGGGCTGGGCTGCGAAGCTTCCTGGGTTAGGGAGGGGTGGAGTAGGGGTCGCGTTTACGTATTGGCAGCTGCGGGGGCTGGGGGCGGGGCGGCTCTTGCTGCCAGGATGCTAAGCAGGCGCCGTGGCACCGCGCCTACTATGCCCAGGGCATTTACACTTCGTAGTCTGGTGGAAGGGGCATGGTCGGGAGATTTACTAGCAAACTTTCCCTTACGTTTTACAAACAGGGCTCTGGTTTCGTTTCTTTCCAACTCTTTCGATTTCTTTTCTCCCATAGAGTGCAGTTTCTCCCACCTCCCCATTTCAGCAAGTCCACCTACCATGCACTTGTTGTAAAGCTGTTTTGGCTCCCTTCCCCCATTCCCCGCACTTTGAAGCTGGCAACAATAGAGACAGTTTTGTACTTCTCTCATGCCACCTTTTTTGGGGGGGCGGAGGGGTAAGTCGTCTGTACGACTTTAAGACTTACGTCTGCTCTTTCCTGTACAGAAGTCCCTAGGACTACAAGTGGCTGAGAGGACCAGCCTCTTAAGGCAGGTGGCTGTGAGCTGTACCCGTTAGTTTAGTTTTGCTTTAGTTTACGTTATCCATAGTGATCTGACATAATCCCTTAGGCTCAGGAACTCAGCTCCTTATGGTTTAAGGCAGTTAAAGCTTAAATACTAGATCTACATTATAGCTCATTTCTAGTCTTTTGAAGGCATTTCTAACATTTGTGAAAATTAGCAGCAGAATCAGGTTGAAGCAGTGCCAGTTGTAACCATATCTGGTTTAACTTATTCCCAAGGAGCTTGGTTCAACTTTATTTTTTACTTCAGAGTCATTTTAAAATATAGTAGGCAGCTTGGTATAGTAAAAAGAGTGTTGGATTAGGAATCTGAGGATTTGGGTTCAAATCCAGGGTCTGCTGCTTTTTACCTGGAAGGCCTTGGATCATTTAGACCTTCTGGGCCTCACTTTTCTCTAGTTGGACCAGGTAATCCCCAAGGTTCTGTCCAAGTCTACATCTAAGATCCAAAGATCCCTGTTAATTAGGGCAGCCCAGGAGAGGAGGAAATAGGTTGGAGATTGGGGGTGACTGTGGTGCTCAAAGAATGTTCCTAATAATGAATCTCATTTGTACTGGATATTCCAAAGTAACCTTGTAGAGGGTAGACAGAAAAAGAGGCATATATAAAGCATAGAAATAGAAGGCAGATAGAAGAAGAAAGGAATAAGTTGATATTATCTATCACAGGTTAGATAGGGGGTAGAAGGGACCCCTAGAGGCTGCCTACCCTTCTTACCTGAACCCCCCAAAATGCCCTGGTGTGTTTATCACAAAAATTATGTGTTTTTCTGTGCCTCAGTTTCAGGCCTCAGCCAGTAGTGGAGCAGACAAGTTTGTGATTGAGGTCCAGATCCTCATGATGAGAACATATCAACAGATTATTGATAAGGGAGAGAGAAATGTTATTTGACATTTACACTTTTTTTTATGGATACTGGAGCAGAACACTCCTGAAATATGAGCCTGAAACCCTGGCTGCTTTATGTTATGATCAATGGCACTCTGGTATCGCAGTCCTATTGTCCTCACCCCTAAGAGTATGAGGGAGTTGGTATTTCAGAGTTAAAGATTGCTTTCTGTGACCAGCCAATCTCAGATTCCTCTGCTTTTTGTTCCTTTCAAATGATGGCACCATCCTTATACTTTTTTAGGACCTGGTGGACCAACTGTATTCATTTCGGGACCACTACTTTGAGACACATCCAGTTGAGTATGCTGGTCAGAAACATCAGGATGTGCGAGAAGAAATGGAGAAGACCTTACACAAGATAGAGGAAGCAGTAGGTATGGCCCTCAAGATTCAAGATAGAACACCAGTGTTCCTTGCCTGGGAAGTGAGATGGCCTCTTTCTCACTTTGTATATTCTGTAAAGGGGCCACCTCTAGCTGGTCAAACAAAACAAGTCTTTTTTTTTTTTTTGGCCATGGGGTTAAGTGACTTGCCCATGGTCACACAGCTAGTAAGTGTGAAGTATTTGGTCTGAGGCTGGATTTGAACTCAGCTCCTCCTGACTTCAGGGCCGGTGCTCTATCCACTGCACCACCTAGTTGCCCCAAAACTAGCCTTTCTGATAGGTATAGACCATAGCTAATGCGTGTAGTTGAAAAAGCCCTATACCAAATCTCCCAAATTCTCAGCTTCTTTCACTCTTGGGTCACACCACTCTGATGTGAAAGGGCTCACTTCTTAGCTAGAGTATTTCAATAAACTCTTTGCCTTCACCTTTCCAACCTGAACATAGCTGCCAGAATACTTTTCCTATAACAACAGATTGTTCATGCTACTCTCTCACTTAGAAACTTTCAATGGCTCCCTATGATCTTTAGAATACAGTCTAAACTAGGTCTTTCATAACTTTTCAAAACTTCACTAATTCAATAAATATTTACTAAGTGTCCCTTGTACCAGCCATTCTGTTGGGCCTGGGAGTATGAAGACAAAAATTAAATTGTTCCTTCTCTCAAAGACTCCAACATTTATTTGGGAGGAAGCAGTATCTGTATAGAAAATTAAGTACAAAGTATGTGCAAAGTAATTTACAAGGGGAAAATATTAACAATTAGGAGGATCAGGATAGTCTTCTTGTAGGACATTGCATGTAAATTGAGCTTGGAAGAATCTACAATCAGCATTTCCATTTCCTCTCCTCTGTTGACTCTACGCTCTGGCTTCTGACTATAATGTTCAGTCAAAACAGCTCTTTCCAAAGTTACCAATGATCTCTTAATTGCCAAAGCTAGTGGCTTTTTCTCACTTGCCATCCTTCTTCACCTCTCTGTAGCCTTTGACACTATTGATCACGCTTTTCTCCTTGATGGCACTTTCTTCTCTCTAGGTTTTT